GGGGAAGGAAGGGCGGGGGGGGGAGTGGTCGGGATGGGAAGGAAGGAAAGAGGGGGGGGAGAACCCACCTGGCAAAAGAGTTGTGCTCATTACAGACCATGCACCAGCCCCTCGCTCTCCTGCCTACCTCTCCTCCCTATCAACCCCCTGCCCAAACACCTGCCTCCCCGCTTCCCCCCCCCTTCACCTCCAGCCTCGCCTGTGCCCCCTCCCCGTCCGCACACCCTCCCTCCTTCCTCGAGTCAATTCCCCCCCCGCGTGACTCTAACTGTTGCTGGCACTGGGAACATTGGAGAGAATGGTGGAGCCGTGGAAGGCATGCTGAACGGGTGAGGAACGAGGAGGAAGCCCATCCATCACACGGGAGGAGCAGTGAGGTTCACACAAGCACAGTGGTCAACTGTCAATCATGACAGGCGTCATGAGGGGACATCAACAGCAGCTACGGCCCGACAAGGCTCCAGGAGGCAAGTGGTGGAGAGAGAGCCGAGAGAGTAGATAAACGAGTTAAATCCATCATCTGTGCTTCCCGTGAAGGTTCCCCCGTGAGCTAAAATTGTCGTTTTGAAAGATCAGGAGTCTGCCCGTAAAGGGTAGAACGGTTCCATCTACCGTATAACTCTGTAAAGCTTGTAACTTGGGCTCCATGTTGAAGCTGTAATGGGACGCTGGCCTGTTATCCAGCAGGTGCAGAGCCATCCACAAACCGGAACAATAGGGTGTCTGCTCCTATCAACACGCCCCCCACACCCGTCATTGTTGTTTCATTAAAAAAAAAAAAGAAAAAAAAGAGAGTTTAAGCCTCTTGGAGTAGGGTGAAATTGAGGGTCTCAACCCTGATAGACATCATAATCGATCCATGAATGACAGCTATGGCGATTCTGACTGAGAACTCGACCTGATAATTCTTTTATTGCGTGTGTCCCAACCGGCCGCAGCAAGACCTGAGCAGCCACTTCCACCTGGCCTGACACTCCCGCATTGCCAACTCACCTCAGCGAGCTACCCGCATTGACTGGCCCTGGCCATCCTCCTCAGGGCACTGAAAGGGATAACACTGGGGTCAGAACCCAGCACCTACGCAGTGCCGCTCAGGCAAGAAACCTATGAGCTAGCGGGCGGGACGGAGCAAGCTGGTTCTAAATGTCCCTTTTAAGGCTAAAAAAAAGAAAAGGAGGGTTAGAAATTAGGATATAAAGGAGGGGGCATTTGAACAAAGCATGGGTTGCACGAACAGTGGTTCCTCCTGCATGGGACCAATCAATGCCGTCTTGGGTCCCCCCAGGTCATAACGAAGGGGTCAACTATACATGTGTAATATTTGTATATACCGTCAAACACAACTATGTTAAATTATTTTCACAGTTTTTGAGACGTGAAAAAAAAAAAGAAGAGACATGCCGGTGGAGAAGGAACCGGATTGATGCTCCCCAGAATGGAAAGGAGTGAGCCAGGGCCATAAGGCCCTGTTTGGAAGATTAAAAAAAAGGAGGGATAATGTGAGCAACGAGGGGACATAAAGGACGCTGGACCCGGTTTCCAGTGGGTGCTGCTCCCCACCAATACATTGGAGCACCCGACCACCCTACTACCGTCTTCCCCCGAACACAACGCACCCTCATTTTGGCTGTATCTGGCCAGAAATAAAACTCGTATACATTCATTTTTAGGGTGCGTTATGTTCGGGGGAAGATGGTAGGAGCAGGTGCTACGTAACAGCAGGGTTGAGAAGAAGGGACTGCGATCACAATATTGTCAACATTGCGACTACATGGCTTCCGGGGTTCCGGGAACGTTTTTAGCTGTAGGTAGCCTGCCTGCACTATCATAAGAACGACATCCGTGCCCCTATCTGTGATGGTCACTGAGGCCTGACCTGCAGGTCCTCGGCGGTGGAATGGTTTGGGTCAGGGTGTAACAGACCCCAGGATCCCAGCATGTGCAGCTCCCTGCTGGAGAACAGCTTGGGCTACAGCGAAACAGACCTCAGGAGTGTAAGAACTATGTAGCTATGGGGCAGTGACGTGGGGACTCTGATCACGATACATATGCAACTGCAACCACAAGGTCATCTGGGGCTCGTGAGACAGGTCTCTGCATTGTCTTGTTTTGCATAGTTAGGGACCTGCTAAATCAAGCAGCATAACATTGTAAACACTGGCTCCTTGTCTTGATGTTAAGGGATGCTGGACCCGGTTTCCAGCAGGTGCAGCTCCCCACCAATGGAATGGAGCCACCTGCAAACAGGGTGCGTGGAGGGGGTGTTTGCTCTTATCAGCACCTCCCCCACGCCCGTCCACGATGTTTCACAAAAAAAAAAAAAAAAAAAAAAAGGTTAAACAAACAAACAAACAAACAAACAAACAAACAAACAAACAAAAAAGGTATAATTTGCAAAATACCCTCACATGTTGAGAATCTTGAGATATATGCCAAAATGCCCCTAATGTGGGTAGCGAGAGATGCCCCTCTGACACAAAAAAAAGAGAGTGAAATACCCCTGTCGTCAGTTGGACCTCCCATCTTTGTCAAAATACCCCGGTACTTGCCAACTTTTCCAGGGCCCGATTGCAAAAGGGGAAGGCCCAAATGGCGAGGTCCAGATTGCAAATTTGCGCACCGGCCTGAGAGGGGGGCATAACACAAAGATTTTGGCCTAAAAGGGCATTCCGCTCTACGCACATCTTTCAGAGGCATTTTGGCATATATCTCAAGATTCTCATCTTTTTTTTTTTTTTTAATATGCTAATCTTTTCTGTAATTTTAACGAATGTCCCAAACTATTTGAACTTACTTCGCAAATTAACCCCCAAAAAAAGATGACCAAAAACTGACATGTGCAGCCGTAAATGGGTGACAGGGAAGCAAAATTTGAACACACAAGAAGTACTCTGGGGACTTCTCCCTTCCTTCAGAACTCTCTTCCTCAATGACTCAAATAAAGCAAATTACAGTGTGCTAAAATGGAAAATCACAAATTTTATTTGGCGAAGGGTACAAGGAAAATACAATTGCATGCAGACAGACAAGACATATTCCTCCTACGTCCGCTATACGATATCCTAGCTGTGGTACAGCAGATCCTTCTCACAGACTAATGGGCAGGCGGGTGATGGGCTGAGGTCATCTGGTGGTCCACATGGCCTTAACACGCAGTAACTTCATCGTAACTTCACAGTAGCTGCACATGATGCCATGGTAACCATCTGGAACAAACTTCAAGACCAGGTAGTAGGGCCGCACATCTTGCCAGATTTCTTGGGTCCGGAATCCGGACTCTGACTGGTGTTGCTGGACCATCCAGAAACGCCTGGGCAACGAGTCGGAAAACAGTATGCGGTTGGCGGACAGACATGGACAAACACGGACATGGGCCTGTGCGGAACCCTTTTCCAGTTCTTGGCCCAGACCTGCCCGATGGTCCAGCCAGATCATCTAGACCCCACAAATCTGGCTGCATATCCAGCCGCGCTGCCAAGCCTGAAGATAATAAGTTCATGGAGTTCCTTGCAATCGCTTTACGGCGACTTCAAACTTCCAAGAACCTTCATAATGACTCACCTTGGCGGCTGCAGATGGACTCGATGGTAACTCCATCAGGACCTCATAGCCATCTTGGCAGTTGAGTGCTACTTTTCTGTGAGCTCCCTAAAGCCCTTCCAAGCTGAAGGAGCTTTGTTTCCATGGCGCTCCATGAAGTTCAGGAGAACGCGTGCAGGTCCATCATCTGGCCAAATGCGTTGGCACTGTCGCAGTCGCCTCACCGCCTCATTCCAATCGCCAAGCAGGTAGGAATCAACACCTCGTGTAAAGCGCTCACGGTACTCTGTGCTGTCGCCTTTCAATCCCTTCTGCAGCACAGGCAGATCAAATGTGAAAAGGGAAAGGGGCTCTGCACTACCTTTCACCGTCACACGGTCCAGCCTCCGGCACCCAGACCTGAGATAAGGTTTTGAGAGATTTGCTAGTACTGTCTCTGACAGCAGTATGGTGACACCATACTGCTTTGTCGCTGCCTCAAGTCGAGCCGCCATGTTGACATGTGGGGACAGATAGGACGGGTCCACCTTATGTCGTGAGCCGATTGCTCCCTCAATTGCCCATCCCACATGTAATCCAAAACCCATCTTGATTCGGTAACCTTCATTTGATCATATGCACCATTCGCATTTGAAAGCATTTCCGAAGGCACGGTGACACCCAGAGGCAGAAAAATCAGGATAACCAGAACATGATGGAACAGATATAGGAGGAAGAGGAGAAGCAACAGCCGAAACAGCCAAAACATAGCAGTTGCAGAAGAAGCATCAGAATAACAGAAGAAAAAGAACAAAATGATAAGAAATCAAGGAGACAGAAAAAAAAGTTCGGGAAGAAGAAATAGAAGAAAGCTCAAGAAGAAGAACACAGACGAAAAAGAAGAATCACGAAAAACAGAAAAAAAGTTCAAGAAACAAAAGAAGCAGAAGAAGCAGAAAAGACAGAGAAGAAGCAGAAGAAGACAGCATGTTAATTGGATAAGATCTGCTCCATCATGAAATAAAAAACACTCGACGCACATTCATAGAAGAGGTAAAACTGGAGAGGGTTGCACGTGAGGACCCCTCCTCCCCCACTCTTTCCTGTCCAATACAGTCACCATGAGCATGCTTCGTTTGCAGGCGGGAAAGGGGATGACGAGACAAAATCCAGGGTTTAGGGCTTATGGTTTAGGGTTTAGGACTTCGCAGGGGGGGGCACCTGGGCCATCGGGGACTGCAGTGTACGTGGAACCTAGCTGGAGGACCAGGCTACAGTAGAACAGATTGGCATATGTTTCCTTCTTTTTTTTTTTGTCCAAAAAAAAAAAGTCTTTTATTCCTACAAAAGTAACAAAACCAAAAAAAAGAAAAAAAAAGAAAAAAAAAAAGAGGAGGTAAAACTGGTCGTGCACGCAAGGAGACCGCCTGACACGTATTACAAGTGGGACTTCACAGTGAACTGTCCATTCAACGGCAAATCAATTCTCTGCATCATCTTGGATGCTTTTGGATTAAATCGGATCCATGAGGTCAAAACACCGAAAGCACATTCATAGCAAGGGCAATTGGTTGGGTAGAGTAAATGGTACTCACAGTAATGGCCTGAGAGAAAATAGACAATGGAATAAAATCAAGAAGAAGATGACATGAGTTTTAATATCACAGTGCTATCACCTTCCTCCCTACACCTTCTTGACACAACACCTTCCTCCCTACACCTTCTTGACATGACACCGTCAAGAAACTCAATCCTTCTGTCCAGTTGATGTAGCTCAGTGGTTAGAGCACCGGTTGGAAATGCGCATTGTGGTATGAGGTTGTGGGTTCAAATCTGCAGCCTCACGCATGGACACCGGCAGGGCATTAGAATGACGCACGGCGGGACACACACCCCTTGGGCTGACACATGGTAAGCTATTACAGACACAGCCTGCGCACCACCCAGGGGACTGTCCATGGTGTTGTATGTTGGTTCCTGGCCTAGGAGGGGTTTGCCTGATACAGTTAGCAGTCTAATGAGGATGCGGGTGAGGGTTTGTGGTTAGACTGCTCATGTGTGTTGGGTTATCTTAGGCTCTGCTTTGGGGGGGGCAAGGACCTTAGGTGGGAGGGGGTCCCGTTTGGGGGGAGGGTTGGCTTGGGACAAGCTCTGCAGGAGGATATCGGTGGGGAACCTACAGTAGGGGATTGTCTTAAGGGATCCCGGTAGGAGGGGTGTTAGTAGACAGACTCTGGTGGAGGAAATCGTTGGGGAACCTGCAGTACGGGCTGTCTGAGGGGGATCCTCCAAGATAGGATGGTCTGGGTCCCATAAATTAGTTGCTGACTGTAGACAGGTACCTGTCGTGGGTCCAGAAACCGACCTTTACAACACCCTGGCCTTTTTTTCCTAATGACTTCAGTTGTGTTTTGTTTAAAAAAAAAAAAAAAAAGAAAAAGAAAAAGAAAAAGAAAAAAAAGAAAGAAACTCAACCCTTCTACTCATACGCCACTCAGATTGAGGATATTGTTCCCTACCTACGTAATGGGCAGTCTCAATCCTTCTACTCATACGCCACTCAGATTGTGGGTATTGTTCCCTAGCTACATAATGGCCCGTTCGAGGACCGAATGGTTCTTTGTAGTATCCGAGCTCTTTCACTGTGAAAGCCTGAAAGTGGATAGAGCATGAGAAAAATACTCCAACTTATCATGTTCATTCTTTCCTACCATTGAGTGCCTGCTGAACATGTAGTCCAGCATCCCCTACTCATTCAGATTTCTTGGGCCCAGAAACCCAGGCTTGAGAAAGTCGACAGTTAGGTGCGAACTGTCGACTTTCTCAAGCCTGGGTTTCTGGGCCCAAGAAATCTAAGGCCAATTTGACCCTAGACAACCATAGCCATCAAGGCCTTTTTCTGCACAAACTCAGACCCTCTGGACTGATTCATTGACTTTAGGCCTTGACACTTGTCGACAGGCTGGAGATGTATTTATTCTCTCCTGTCCTCACTGGGCTTGCATCAGAGGTGTATCAAGGGGATAGGACCCTTGCATGTTAACTAAGCCAGCAGTAGCTCCCACAGGCAATCGCTGATAGGGGCCTTCCCGTTCCAAGGGTAGCCCCCAGAAAAGGCGGGCCTCCCCTTTTCATGGGACCATCTGAACTCCCATCTGATCGTTCATCCTTTTATTTTTTGAATGTTTGTTTAATTGGAAAAGTACCAGGTTTTTTTTTTTTTTTGTGTTTTCCTTTTTTTCAAGTCCAGGTTGTTGTAGAGGTTGGCTACTAGGCATATGAGAGGCCCACCAGCACCTGACCATTTGATCATCCCGATGTATTGCCTAACCGGTGCCCTATGAGACACCCTCCCACCCTTACTCATCATCATGGTCCCTGTCGCATCCCTACTCCCAAGGTCCTACCAGAGTATACCCAGGACTCATCAGCCATTTGAGTGATCTTTGACCGGACAGCGGTTATAGGCATCAGGGCTAAGCAGGTTCTCACCTCCCTCCCCAGCCCTGATTGAAGCACACTATCAAACGAGCCACCAGGGCTAAGCAGGTTCTCACCTCCCTCCCCAGCCCTGATTGAAGCACACTTGTGACACGCAACCTCACGCCCCCTCGCAGCTTCCCGTACTGGGTCGCCGATCAGAGTTCTACGAGGGGCATGGCCGAGGATTTTTGGCCGCAAGGGTTGAGTCTCCCGGACGGAACGGGAGGCTCTCGTTTCTTGGCCGAGGTTTTTCTCGGAGTCGAACTGTCGTCGCGAAGTCCCGCGGGGGTCGGATTACTCCGAAACGATAAAATCAGAAGGGTTTCAGTGAAAATGAATTGCCGTCGTGCATCGGGACGGGAAAAGGCATCAAGGGAAGGAGGCCATGGCGGCAGACGACAAAAACTCCGGCCGTCATGGGTTCCGGGGATAGATGGTGGGTTTGAAGCCTTCAGGCCTCGTCATCGGCCTCACGAAGTGGCCGAACCCTCGCGTCTTTTGCTGTAGAGGTGGTTGGTTCGAGGCCTTCAAGCCTCGGCGTCGGACTCATAGAGCCCGCGTGAAAGTTTTCAGGAGGGTAGAGCGGCGGGAGGACTCGCCGGCATCTGAATTCGAAATTGCGCGGGCAGCGCCCCCGCACTACGGGAAAACTCGGGGAATCGTGTCGCTCCCTCGTAACCCAGGACCAGCCGTCGCCACGAACACGAGTCCCCCTGGCGACACCAGCGACAATCAAACTGCGGTCGCCACGCGGCGTGAGCGGCCGACCAGGGCAACACCGTTAAGCCCGTATAAGGCAATATTAGAGTCGGGGAATCAAAGCGATCAATCAACACAAACCCGTTCCCCCTTATCTCACAAGCCCAAGGCGGGTCTTGCCAACACACTTGCTCCGTCCGCCTCAGCGCGCGCCGTACATCCGCATCGCAGTAGACGCTGTCGTCATCTGTGATGGGGAAGG